GATTTTTTTTTAATAGCTTTGTTGATGATTCCCTTCACTATATGTGTGTGAACACATTCAGTGCACACATAGTGTAGTTAATGCTATGACTAAATTCGTGGCTCTATGAGAAAATAAATAACAAAGCACAAGTCCTGGTGTAGTTTGTACAAATTTCAGTCACTGGTGATATTCCAAAGATTATGTCATAGGTAATAAGCTAAGAATAGCAGATCCAGCCAAAGGAATGAGGGGAATCAAACTTACTGACTTGTCAGTTACAATAAGCCAAACCGTGGGTCTGCAGGATGACTAAGTGGATAAATGCCATTACTTCCAAGCACGATGACCTGAATCCTGGGAATCATATAGTGGAAAAAGAGAACAAACTCCCACAAAGTTTCCTCAGACAATCACACATGAACCATGACAACACACACACACACACACACACACACACACACACACCAAAATAAAGTCTTTTTTTAAAGCTCTGTCTGGGTTTCCTCCTTGGCATCACTTGACAGACTTTCCAAATACTGGTCCTTTTGTCTGAAGACAAAAAACTTACAGTGCTTCCTTACTGCAGAAACCTGGAAACTGGTGAAATGCTTTAATCAACTCAACAGGTTTTTATTGCACACCCACAATCCACCTTCACTGAGTAGTGTTAAAATAATAATAATAATAATAATTAAAATAATAATAATAATAAAAGATGTAAGTCTCTTCCCTTCTTAGGCTTTCAGGTGAACAGGAGCACCAACGTGCGGAAGACAGTCATTGGCATGGCCATGTTCTTCATTGGCTCCACTGCCCTTGTTCTGATCGGGGAAAGTGCTGTGTGTACAGCCACTGAAACAAACAACAGTATCGGGTGCTAAATACCAGGACAAGCACATACTGGGGACAGTTATGAACAAGACAAGCCCAGTTACGACTCTCAGGAGCTTAGTTCCAATGCGAGAAGGTTTTAGTGTGCTAAGGCTGTCATTAACAACGCACTGCCAACTGGGTGGTATGAGCAGAGATTCCCAATTCTAGAAATCTGAAGCAAGCTGTCAGCAGGAGTCCTTCTGAGTGCTCTAAAAGAAGGATCAGCTCCCAGCCCCTGTGCTTGGCTTGCAGATGCCTGTCTTCATATGACAATGACACTTTTTCTTCTACATGTCACAGTATTCAAATATTTCTGCATATGGTGGGGGAGGGGGTTTTCTGAGCATCTTCTTCCTCAATCACTCCCTACCTTATTTTTTTAATATTTTACTTATTATTTTTATTTTATGTGTATAGGTGTTTTGCCTGCATGTATGTAAGTACACCACATGTGTGCAATGACACCCAAGATGGTATAGGATTCCCTGAAACTGGAGTTATAGACAGTTGTTAGCCACCATCTGGGTGGTAGGAACTGAGCCCAAGTCCTCTGCAAGAGCAGTCAGTGCTCTTAATTGCTGAGCCATCTCTCCAGCTCCATCCCTACATTTTTTTTTCAGACAGGGTCTCCCTGGAGCCCCAGTCTTGATCAAATGTATGAGGGATGGGGCCGTACACACAGCACTTTCCCAGATCAGAACAAGGGCAGTGAAGCCGATGAAGAATATGGCCATGCCTAACTGTCTTCCACTCGTTGGTGCCCCTGTTCACCTCAGCAAAGCTCTCATTAAATGGGATGCAGTACAACTGGACTTTCTCATCCCTGGTCAGGCTGTTCCAGTCAAATTTTTCCTTCTCCTTCAGGGCCTTCTGGCTGGCAGACATGATGTGGCTGTCATGGGCCACATCAGGCAAGGGGTCGTCAAGCTGGTCAACATAAATGGGGAGAGAGTAGTCCTCACTCTTCACCACACTTGCATGCACTCGAACACACAGAGGTGGAAATGGCTTGCTTGCCAATTAGGTTAAGTGCCCTGATAGCCAATATTCTGCCGCCACTGCCCTTGACCACTAATGACTTTTAATTAACTCCAGAAAAATCATGTGCTCTTGTGTCTTGTGACCTGGGCACCTGATCTTGTTTCCTGGAAACCTCAATTTGGTACTCTATCCCAAAGGATAATGAATGGATGTGGGTATGTGTGAGAATTAACATATCTGTATCAGTTACTTTTCTGTTGCTGTGATAAGACATCATGACCAAGACAACTTATAGAACAAGAGTTTATTTAACTTCCAGTTCCAGAAGGATGATGTCCATCATGGCAGAGGAGGCATGGTGGCAGGAGGTGAAAAGGCTGGATGGTCTGTTAAGGGGTAGAGCTAAGCTTGTACTTCCCCACCTGAAGCTGGAGAAACCATTTTAGATAAAATTATGTGTGGGGCCAGACTTAGGGGCACAGTTCCAGGGACAGAGTTCCATGAAGATGATTCTTCATCACAGTTCCAGGAGACAGACTGTTCTAATAGAAACCTAGTGGAACAAGAGTCCTCTTAAAAACTAAATTTGAAAGTCAGGTGTTTTGTTCAGGTGATTATAATTTTGATATCGTAACACCACAAGACCTCAAAGAGCAGGAGTTACAGGTGGTTGGCAGCCATACCATCTGGGTGCTGGGAACCCAACTCAGGTCCTTTGGAAGAGCATCACGGGCCTTTAACCACTAAGCCATCTCTCTAGCCCATAGTTGTCAGCTTTTCTGTGAGTACCATACTGGTTTTGGTTACTCTAGCTGTGATGAGGCACCTCAGGACTGACCATAGCTACTCCATGTTACAGTCCTAGCTGTTTCCAGCAACTGTAACCAAGAAGCAGTTGGCTCAAAGTGTGGACCCAGCTGCACCAGGGTGTGGGTTTGAGGAAACAGATCAACATGTCCCTGGCCGCTCTTGCTAACTGCTCACTCTTGCTAACTGCATCATGTTGTTTTTTGCTTCTATGCTTCCCACTCTGCTCCTCCTGGCTTGCACCTGTAAGAAGAAACTGTTGGGAAATTTTCTACCCCTGAGCCATAAGAAACTGTTAGAAGGGGGACTTTCTACCCCAGAGTGGACAATTGTGATTTTTCTGTATAAAAGCTTACCCTGAGAGAAACTCAGGAATCTAATGCCCAGTGTAGTTGCCAGCCGGCTATAAAGACTTTCTTTTGACTATTTTCTGTGTCTGAGTGGTCTTCTCTGATGGGTTACCTCATAACATAGCTCTGTAATATGTTCTAAAGTCAGCTATTGTAAACCCTCTAATTTTGTTCTTTTTATTCAGGATTGCTTTGGTTATTTGGGGTCTTCTGTGATTCAGTTCAAGTTTTGGAAGTGTTTTTTCCAATGTCTTTGGGGGCTGGGTGTTGTGGGATTATGATATACTTAGGCTACAGCTTTCTTATGTGGGATAGCTATGGTATGATGCACTCATCTGCAGATATGATGTGCCCACTGCAGAGACAAAAAGGCCCAAAATAAAAGTGCCAAAAATAAAAAGCAAAATTTCCCCACTCCCTAGCAACTGGTCCCTAACTGCTTTGAACCTGAGCCAACGACTTGAGATACTTCATACAAACAAATAGAGCCCAATTCCCAGTGGTCCTTGGTACCTCATTTCAAATGGTCATTCTCAGAGAGGATAAATAATGTTGTAAAGTTTACTTCCAGGGCTATAGGACCTTGCAGAGGACCCAGGTTCAATTCCCAGCACCCACATGGCAGCTAACAACCATCCATAACTCGGGCATTGCACAACTCGGGTGCACTTACATACATGTAGACTAGACATTCATATACATAAAATAATTAATAATAATAAATAAAATATTTTTTAAAAAATAAAATAAGAGCCAGGTGTGGTAGCACACGCCTGTAGTCCCAGCACTTGGGAGGCAGAGACAGGCAGATCTC